AATCTAAAAGAAAAGATTTACTACCTTCTGAATATTGTTTTGCGACAAAAATGTAATATCTTTTGCAGCCATTTTTCATGACCTTCACCGCTTTCGTTTTATATTTTCTTATTTTTCTGGAGATAGATAAAGCGTTTATTGGACTCAAAGCAATATCACACTTTTACAAAGTCACGGCTTCCTATATTTGAGTTTAATTGACTTTCATATCGACGAAAAAAATTATTTTTAAACAGCTACCTAAATATTTTTTCGTATAAAATCAGCGACATCAATTGTAAACACGCGCACCGATTGACTACAAGATTTTTTTGTGAATTTTTTGTGAACCATGATATCTCGACACAGTATATAACAAAGTCGTTTACCGCCATCTGTACGTTTAGATCTTTCAACTAAGTAATGGATTCTAATGCGGTTTTCATCACTAGATAGAGTGATTCAAGAGGAAGGATAGTACGTATATTTTAATCTTGGTTCACGTTAATTCGTTGAAATATGACGATAATTGTACAAGATATCGGAAAAGAAAAAATAAAGTCGTCTAATGAAATTGTTCCTCGTTATTATGACAACAAAAAAGTCAACGATGGCATTTTATACATGCATTTTTTACAGATAATGTTTCGTAATTATTGTTACGTTTAAATAAATTATACAAATCGTGTGTAGTTTGCAAAGCTGTTAAGATGGATACAATAGTAATATTATTAATCTGACACCACATTGTTTCTGCACCCGTGCGTAGACGGGACGGGTTGCCAGTGCACATACAGAAATAAAAATATTTTTTTTTAAATTGGTGATAGTGGAATTGTATATCGCTTGCGTTACCAGGTTACCAGTATACACGGGTGAGGCACTAATAAGGCATGATAGATGAACTATGATGAAGAAAGTCAGTTGGCCCGTCGTAACGAATGCAATAATCACGGGTTTCCAGAGGGAACCGCGTGAAGTTCGACTTGATAGGATAAACTTTATCAGGTCGCTAGCAACAAATATAAAAAAAAAATACAACCGATTTAAGAACCTCCTTCTTTTTAAAGACGGTTGAAAATAGTAAGTTTCGCAGACGGTTTAAATTATCGTAATATTGTTAAAATGCTATTAATATGAAAGTGTTTAAGATTAGATGGATGGATGTTTGTTACTCTTTCTCACAAAAACGACTGAATGAATTTGAATAAAATTTGGTTAACGGATAGGTTAGTTTCATCTTTCAACACAGAATAATTTATGTATTAATTCATAGGCGAAGCAGCGTGATACGGTGGGTATAATATAAATATTTTTAAGGAATTCTTATTATACTACTATGCTTATTTCATTCGGAGATATAAAAAGTTTACAAGGGTGAAAAATAATTCCAATTTTTAGAGACTGCGAGATTTAAAAATAACGGAACTTAAGGAACACTCTCAATAAGATTATAACGATGCCTTATGATCAAATGATATTAATAATAATATGTAAATATTATAATTTTTATGTTCAGTTTCAATAGAACTTAATAAAAAAGAAACAAACGAATAATTAATTAAGTAATAACCCCAGGTTCACACGTAGTAGATTTTGCCTCCCTTCGTATGTTTTACCACTTGTATATCGGATTATGTTCTGTAGAATTTTTCGAAATGATGCCTGCAACCATATATCATCGTATAACTCGCCATCGACAGGGAATTTATCCTCATACGCTTGAACTTAAATGGTCACGTACAGTGTGATTTCAAAGAAATTTTCTCCCGCAAACGCTCTGGCTGTGGAATGAGCTCTCTGCCGAGGTTTACTCTAGAGACTACAGTATAGAGTTTTTCAAAAAGAGTATATTAAGGTTTCTTCAGGGTCGGCAACACACGTGACACCGCTAGTGTTGCAGGCGTCTATACGCTACAGTAACCATGTAATGCACATTTATTGGATGTTTGCTTTTGTCTTGATAATTGTTAGCAGTAAAAGTAAGTTAGCATTTAAACTCTAAATGTTGTGTTCGCCTTGTATAGGTATTTATATTAGGTCTAATTTTATATAATATGTTTTATAATGTATTATACATGTACCGTTGGTGTATTAAATGGGTTAATAAATAAACCATTTACCATCAGACGGGCTAAGTGCATGTTTTCCGCTTTTGTGGTATAAAAAAGAAAATAAAGAATAAATATAAATTAAATATTAAGTAAAAAATAAATAAATAAGAACAATTATGACAATCTTATAATCAATAATAGTAGTAATAATCAAACAAGTAGAAAGGTAATGCGATTTTAAACTTCTCTTGAAGCGATAGAGGGCCTATTTTGAATGTGCATGGTAAGTTTATTCCACAGCAGTGCAGTATAGCATATAAATTAGTTTACAGATGGCAATGGACTGGTTTAGGCAAAGGCGTCTAGGTCTGGAGGGAAGGGGTAACAATTGGAATTAGGAATGAAGGCAGACAGGAGAATTGGAATCATTAAGGATATTACAGAGCCACTTTAAACGAGCGCTATATTCAAAGATATGATCGTAAACAGAATAAAAAAAATCTAATTGTTAAATTTTGTAAACGCTCAAGTTTATTTAGCAACTCCTCGGTTAAATCTATGAAACTGACGTCGGCATAATCTAGAATGGGGAGTAGAATTGATTGAGCAAATTGGAGGAGTTTAAGAGAGTGATATGAAAAATACTGGATGTATTTTTCATATCACTGTTAATTTCATTAATATAAGAGATCCGTGAGATAGTACTAGCCACGATAAGTGCTAAGTATTATATATATATTTCGAAAAGCTAAAGCTAATTTAAGGTTTAGAAAACACAATAATACACTTTGAATATACTATAAATAAGTATGAACTTATAAATAATATAATAGGTATAACAGATTGTAAGTGACAGTGTCTTTTAGATAATACTATTATCTATATAGTCGATTACTAATATCTGTCCACACTTTATATCTAAGGTACATATAGTTAAGTTTAAACTCTCGCGTTGTTTACACATACACATTTTAAATACACAATCGAGACTTAATTCGATGTTAAAGTTAAAGACTTATAACAGGTAATAGTCAGGTAAATAGTACCTACATATCTGTTGTTTGTGTATTTAAAATATATAACGGCACATATGGAAAAGAAACAGGTATGGAACTACCTATAAGACATAAAATAAGTAATACCTACACTAGTTATTTAGACGTACGCATACACCATTTTGGGATTGATTGGATAACTCGTATGTTCAGGGCCTTAATACTCGTATGCCTGAATTCCCTATGCTTGAACTTCAGGCATAGGGAAAAATAAATTATCCCCAAAGATTATCCCTTTATCTATAGTTCACTACTAAAAAAATAAGAAAGCTTTTTATATTGAATAAACCCTCTTTTATTCCTGTAACGAATTTGCATACATTAGACAATTTTATCTGAAGTGATGTGCCGAGACGGTTTTTATGTTTTAATATTTTAGTATTCATTAAAAAAAGAATAGAAACCTAGGACTCGTACAAGTACCTACCTTTTAATTTATTTTTCTGAATAAATATTAATAAAATGCTAAAAAATAAATAGAAAAATTTATGACGAATAGATGAATAGAATTCGAGTGCCGTAGGTACATACTTGAAAATATTGAGTACTTGACTCAGCTTGACTCAGCTCATTACTAGACCGAAAGTGGTTCTTATTTATAAATTTTTTTTAGACATAAAATCTATCAAAATAAATCTATTGGTCGATTTTTTGGGCAAATCCCGATATACTGATATATGTACCGAAATATGGTACACAATTTTAATTTAAAAAAATATTGCAACAATATATTTTTATGCAACTCGAAAATGGAAATAAGCTGACGGCCTACTTGATGGAAAATTATAATCAATGCTTATAGACATGAACAGCATGGAATGCACCCCTAGACATCATACCTAGAATGCATTGTAACACCCACACTACTCCTGAAGTATTGCCATTTTAGAAGACTAAGATTGCCTCTACACCCTGTAATGTTACTGCCTTATCCCCTTAATACCGGTGACGACCTCAATAGTGTAGTAGTAGCCACGTAGTTTTGCCTTAACAAGATCCCGAGTTCAATCACTTCAAACTTTTATAAACCGGCTTATAATATAATAAATACTGATTACAGTTAGCAACACTGCTCGGAAGGAACTGTACCCTCGATATAAAAGTATCTACACGTTGAACTAGGACATTCTAGGAAATTATCTATGTACATTCAGATTTATTCAGCCGTTGAAGACGTCTGAGTAACCAATATGGAAACACTTCCAGAATGTTTCATATTCATAATAATATTAGTAGTGCTAGCGATTACGTTGGGACTCTGTACTTGGCAATATATACTGGTCCCTATTGTGCAAGATAAAAGCATATATCCTTTCCATGCCAAATATCTTTTACATATATGCTAGAGGGAGACTTTATACAAATCGTCTGCTTGAGTACCTCTGTCCCATTCGTGTTTCTGTTGTGAAGCAATTGTCTGCGTGGCTGTGTTTCGGTTTGAAGGGTGGAATTTGACAATTACAGGGTACAGAGGTATAAAACCTTAGTCCTCAGGAAAGACAACGCATAAAATTAACTATAATATTTTCAAACGACTTCAAAAATTAGATTCTCAAATCGGTTGTATTTTTTTTTTGTTTGTTACCTCATTACTATGTCAGTTCTAAACTGATTTGGAAAATTATTTTTTTACGTGAAAGGATATACTTATAGATTAGTTGCATAGAAATTTTATCAAAGTCAGCTCAGTATTTTAGTTTTTAGATCAAAATAATCGGTTTAGTCAGAACTGAAGTTGATTTTTTCTGTGGTACGCAACCTTCAATTATAATATATTTTGCTTGCTAAATGTTTACGTATCACATTTTTTCTGCTTGAAAAACGAAAACTACTAAAAGCCAATCACATATTATTCATGACTTACAAGTGGCCGATCCCTTTGGGATCCTAGAAAGGTTATTGAACCACTCACCCAACATGCGTATGATGGTTTTCCTTGACTTCGCTTGTCTCGTCTCGCCGTGTACTTGCCCGTTCAGTAATCCCAGCTTGCTTTTCTTGCTTACTCGTGTTGTCCTAAAATATTATATTTATTATTATTTTTTAAGTCGTTACTTTATTAGCTACTTACGGACTGAGGTAAATAGGATCTAACTGACCCTTTCTGGTTGACCATAGGCCAACTGACTTACCTCATCCCCATCTATCATTCCTCACTGGTCACTGGACTGGTCCCTGTCAGCATATTACGATTCCGTTTTCACCTGTTAAAATCGTTCGGCCAAATTTTATTGGTTGGTGTATTATTTATGTAATAGTTTTATGTGTTTATTTTAAAGCCGTATGTTTATCTTAAATAAATAAATACATAAATATAAACATAACAGCTGAATGGAGTTCAATACAATTTAGTATATAGCTAGATCATATCGTAAATTATCAGCATTCTTTTTATTTTAATTTAGACGATAAAAGTCGTGAAATACGACATAGGAGAATAAAAGTTAAAATAAATAAAAAGGAGAAAATGTACCCAATTCTTTTATTCCTAAATATTTGAGAGGCACTATTAACAGCAATTTTCGTTGTAAATTGCTTTCGTTTGCTTTATAATTGATCATTAAGATATCAAATTACTCTTTTATTGTTATTTTAAATGCTTGATATTTGGAAACGGGTCACAAAGCTGGTGACCCATTTTATGAAAAAAAAGAGCTTGAAGATAAAGAATTTTAATAAAACTGTAAATTACTGTGGACTAGACAATATCTGTATATAGAAAATCTTTAAGAAAAATGATAATAAGTTCAATAGAAGCCAAAACAATATTTTTTGGGATTTTTGTCCGTCTCTATTTGTCTGTAATCTGTAGCAGTAAAGTCATAAAAAAATACTATTTAAAAGAGCTTGAAAACAAGTCTATTTCAATAAAGATTACGTTTATTCTATTTTGCATTTTTTGTTTCAGAATCACGTGAAAATCACATTCCATTTGGTGTCTATTGCACTTTTTCACAAATGTATTCTTGAATTGTTTTCTCAAGGTTTAAAATCTGGTATATGTTTTATCTTGACATGCCATATAGAAATGCCATCATGCGTGGTTACTCACTTCCAGAATCCGCGCGTACTAAGTTACGGGCAAAAGCTAGTGAGGAAATAAAAATTATCAATTCTCATAAAATTTGAGGTTTAAATACAAATCACGTTTTATATGAAAAAGGAGACGTAGTAGGAAAGAAAATTAATCCAATCAATAATTCATTTACATAAATTTAGGTAGCTGAATAATTATAATTATATAATAAATATAAAAATAATTATAATAAATAAATATTAAGCGGTAAATTAAAAAAAATGTAATGACTTTTCAAAAGTGCTTCAATGTAAGTTTATTTGAATAAATGATTTCTATTCTATTCTATTATATAATAAAACTAGGTGTTTGCCCGCTACTTCGTGCGCATAGTTTCAGAAATTGAAAAACCAATGAAGTCCACTACTTCTAGGTATGAAGATAAAACGTATACCAAATTCTAATATAAACCTTCAGAATTACTATAATTAACTGTAAACCATATCCAATTTAGTGCGGTAGTTTTTTCATGATGCAAACATAGAGACAAAAAATTCTAAAAACTATTGTATTATTCTGTTGTTCATAGTTGAATTGACAACGTAATTATATGGTGGGAAAAGAATTGTTAGTAATAGGGCTATAACAGACTGATTACTAGCAATATACCCTACCAGGGACAAGGGATTGTTAGTAATAAGGGTGTAATAACCCCATTGCTAGCAATATACCCTATAAGGGAGTATTTTATTTGATAGATGAAAATAGAATGGCAGCTCCGCCTGTGCTATCGGTATACGCTGGCGGGGCACCAGTGATGGGTGATTGATGAGTATGAAAATAGGCCAGATAGCCCATCATGATGAATTCAACAGGAATTAACCATGATAGGTTCTAGGTGAAACCGCGTGGAGGTCGACCTAGTTAGGTATATTACTAGCAATAGGATTCTTAGTCTCCATTACTAACAATCCCTTTATTAGGGAGTAAGGACATATTTTTAATGGGGATGTAACAGCCCCAGTGCTAGCAATATACCTTATTAGGGAGAAAGGGATAGTAATGGGGATGTAACAGCTCCATCTGTAGTAATATTTTTAAGGATGAAAGCAGGTCAGTTGGTCCATCGTGATGATTCAACAAAAATAAACCACGATTGTTTCCACGCAGAAATGCGTGGAGTTCGACCTGACAGGATGTAGTGCTAATAGGGATTTTAAACCTTATTACTAACAATCCCTTTCCCCCAATTGATATTTATTAATTTTATTATACTTAGTATTACTGTTATTACCGTATATGTAGCCCCATCCTTACATACAGACAAAGTATGAGAACACCAGGCACGAAGAAGAAAAATATGCTGCTGAGTTCCAATAGTGGGGACGGAGCCATGAGCGCGCAGAAAGCCGACTCCAAGGATATGTTACCGGAATCTGAAATAAATTTATTTGTTATTTATATATTTACGCTTTATTGCAACATTTATAGAATAGTAAATACATTTAACTGTAATGAGAAATGATACAAAAGGCGGCCTTATCGCTAAGCAATCTCTTCCAGACAACCTTTGGATAGAGGACATTGAAAAAGAAAAACAAAGGGTAGGTGGGGCACTATATATATATATATATATATATATATATATATATATATATATATATATATATATACTTCCACATTTATTAGCAGGATATGCCCAATGGTTGACTGACAGAGAACACCGCCCGGTGTTAAGTCCGACAAATGAACATAACTAATATACTAATATACTAATGCGAAAAAGTTAACGCAAACACGCTAATCTCTGGCACTACTGTACCAGTTGTATTTCAAAAACTCTTATTGAATTTGATAGAATATTACTTGAGAGAAGTTAATAGTTTATACAACATCAAGATACGACTGTTGGAATATGGAGGACGAAACCGCCGAGCACAGTAACATGATACATTCGATATAATAAAGTTTCATCAAGAAGTTGCAACACAAACAGTGAATAATAACGTTAACTGCAATTATTATCAAGTTTCTCCCGTTTTATTGATAGAGGATCTCTTCGAACTTAATGGGTATTTATCTAAGGAAAATTAGACATCCGCAGTCTTAGAATCTTACGTTTGTATTATAATATTTTATACGTATATGCTAATATTACCATATGCACGGTACACGAACAGCGTTGCCAATTTTTTTCTGCAATTTTGATTAAACAAAATGTCTGTTCATGAAATTTTGGAGAAAGCAAATTGAAACGTAATGAAATCGACACAGGTTCGTGCTTGTGTAAAAATAAATGAAATTGTATTGAATTGGGAAAAGACATTTGACATCTCTAGCGTCCGTTGACATGAAATATGTATGTTGTAACACCCATTAACTGTCCAATACTGAACATAGTCTCCCCTATAAGGGGGGTTTTACCAGTAGTTGTTATACTTGGCAGGCGAGTTGGCAACCGCAGTTTGGTTTTTGGTGATGTTTGAAAAGGTACGCTGCTGCCTATTCCTCCACCATAAGCTCCCTTAGTCACCTCTTACGACACCCACGGGAAAGGAAGCGATAGACTTTTTTTATGTCGGCTAGATATCTCTGAAAATTTAATTTAAGGAAAGGTATTTGTTATATCTTGACACTCCATCTAAAAGTGGATTAATTTTCCTACTTCTGAAATACACGTGTACAAAATAGCGAGGAAAAAGGCAAAACAGTAAATAAATAAAAGATGATATTGATGTAGAATTATAATATAAAACTGCTAATAACTAATATGTAGATGGTATGCGTTTACCAGAGGGAGACTTTGTACAAAAGTCGATTGCTTGGGTACCTCTGTCCCATTCGTGTTTCAACCGTGAAGCAGTAGTGTTTGCATGGCTGTGTTTCGGTTTGAAGGGTGGGATATGGCGTGAATTTACTGGGTACAGAGGAATAACACCTGAGTCCTCAGGAATGGCAACGCATGGGGGGTATCATGAGCGAAACAGTATACTCTGTTATGTCCATGGTACTGCTCATGTCTATAGGCGACGGTTACCACTTTCCATCAGGTGGGCCGTCAGCTTGTTTGCCATTCTATGTTGTATAAAAAAAAAAAAAAAAGTGTACACGGACGTGATACGTGGCTTTATTATGTGAATAGATTTTATTATTAATGTCGTAATGTGAATTAGTCAAAAACAATTTTACCAGAGGGAGACTTTGTACAAAAGTCGATTGTTTGGGTACCTCTGTCCCATTCGTGTTTCAACCGTGAAGCAGTTGTGTTTGCATGGCTGTGTTTCGGTTAAAAGGGTGGGATATAGCGTGAATTTACTGGGTACAGAGGAATAACACCTGAGTCCTCAGTAATGGCAACGCATAGGGGGTTTCATGGGCGAAACAGTATACTCTGTTGTCCATGGTACTGCTTATGTCTATAGGCGACGGTTACCACTTTCCATCAGGTGGGCCGTCAGCTTGTTTGTCACTCTAAGTTGTATAAAAAAAAAATCTGATACGGTGATGAGAACATCAGAGACGGTTTTAGACCTCACATAACTACTGCAAAATATAAATTTAAAATAAAATTAATGTAAATTTCGTAGAACAATAATCATATCAGCCGTTAATTGTTTACTGCTCATATGTAGACTTTGGGGGATTTTACTAGTAGTTGCCACGTTTAGCAGGCAGGTTGGCAATCGCAGTTAGGATTTGATGACAATCCATTTGAATGGTAGTGGTGTATTAAGAGAGACGCTGCTGCCCACCCCTTCATGATAAGCTCCCTTTGTTGCCTCTTACGACACAGAAAAGTTAAGGGTGGCCCATTCTATGTCGGGTCTACACGACAATATCGTAAAATAATATATAGGGTCAAATTGAAATCGTTAGTATACTTTTAAGAGAATATTTCACCAAGTGAAAGGTCGTAGCGAGGAGGGTCGCTTCAAAGATCGGAAGGTCGGAATTTGGATGTCTAATGCATTAAAATAAAACCAAATTCCTTGTTTGAAAGTGATGTCCATCTTCTTATATCGTCCTTCGATCTTTGTCGTAGACATTTGTCTTATCAAAAGCAGTTAGTTTTGTCTGTCGAATGTCTTAGCGGCCAGCGAAAAAATCAGTCAAAGAGGCCGCAACACTAAGGAAATTGAACATTTTAACCAAAATAAACATGGGTTAGTCGTAGCCGTGTAGGCCCGAGCATAGAATAGGCCACCACTTCCTTTCCCATAAGTGTTGTAAGAGGCGACTAAGGGAATTTATGGGGAAGGCTATAGTCGGCTGTTACTACAAACATAAGTCGAAAAACAATAAAAAAATAGAGTCTCCCACGCTGTTATGGACGGATCAAGTTGTTTGTTACGAAAATTAATGCTCTAATATATTATGTTCATGGATATATTTTTAGTTTTACTTATGGCTTTGATATTACCCTATACGAATTGACACATGAGCTATTTATTCCATTGAGAACGGGTCATTGGATGCCCGCAACGACTCTCTGTTCAAATCGGTCGAGAATCGAAAGGAAGATAGAAAAAATATTAAAATATGTAAATCGTATATTTGTGTATGTAAATCGTGTATTTAGACCTGCTCCCACCGATGGCGGGGTTATTTTTTTAATCGAAAATCCTTTCTTTATTGAGAAAATTGCTATTGAACTTCAAACTACTCGTAATATTACAGAAAAAAATGATTTTTTAAATCATACTTTTACTAATTGAGAGAACAATTGGTAGAGAAAAAACTGATAAATGACAAGCAAATCATTGCAGTCCCTTTATACAGTATTCATATTGGATATTATTAAATTATTAAAATCATATTCCAATAAATTACTTAGTAATTGTAAAATGTTTGAAGCGGGCGAAATTTTCAATCACTCTATTAATTTATTGTAATATCATTTAAATATTTTAATAATATTTTTATAACAATTTGCAATTTTTCAGTGAATTGCTAAGTATTTAATACTAATATTTATGAATAAAAATGCGTTCATATTTATTTTTCCAGACCACTATGCTTTTAATTTCATAGTTAACTTTGGAAATTTTATTATTATTATGGTTTATAAAGAGCCTTTAGTATCATCTTAGAGATATGAATTAGTTTTTGTATTGATGCCGCAAGAAAAAATATGTAGATAACATATGCATTACTACTTCTATCCCACGACTTCGTATAACCAGAATGAGTTGTTTGAGCGGAATAATAAATAGCCTGTCCTTTTTCATCTCAGACATTATGCTTGTACCAGATTTCATTAAAATTTGGCTGCCAGTAATATGCCAAGAGGTAACAAATTTAATTTCACATTAATAATTTAATTTGATTTAATTTGGACTACCAGCCCCATTGCTTGTCCGGTCGATCTCCACGTGGTACCCCCTGGAAACCATCGTGCTGTGTTCCATATATATATATATATATATATATATATATATATATATATATATATATATATATATATATATATATATATATATATATATATATATATATATATATATATATATATATATTGCACTAAAACATACAGTAACAACAATAAGTTAATAACAATGTTAGCAAAGCCGAACTTATCTCTAAAAGAGATTTCTTCCAGTCAACCTAACACAGTGGCATAGGAAGTAGCGGGTGGGCAGTAGTAGTGCAAAACAGAAATTAAAATAAATATTTACATAAATTATAAATATATGTACGTAATTAAGGGGCTCGACACCGCCTATTAAAGTGGAATCGTCCACAATTCTCTTAAGAGGCCTCTAGACCAAATCGAGATGACTAAATTGGCATTCAGGATCTCCCGTCCACAAGTGAGAACAGTACTCCAAACGAGGTCGGACTTGTGACTTATATCAGTCTCTGTCCCAGAGTTTCTGTTAATGGGTTATTTTCTAGTTAGTTAGTATTCATTAATAGTTGAGATCCTACTAATGAATACTAACTAACTAGTTTCAAGGAATTACGTTATTAAACGTACCTTATATTACGAACATGGACGTATTTCCTAATATGATCACGAACCTACATTTATATTCAATATAGAATTAAGTAGTACTACGATAGAGTTAAGTATGTATTTAGTTATCGTAAACAATGAACTAATTTAGTTCTGGAATTAAATACATCACATATTTCTCGTCACGTAAAATAGTATTACACGAAAAAACTACTAATTGTAGTATATTATGTTCACGTACTGGCCATTAATAATATTGTAAGTACTGGCCGGTAACAATCTGTTCTATTTATTCTTTCGAAGAATATATCACTGTTTAACCAACTTGCTTGCGTATTACAAAAAAATTAAAACGTAAAAGAGAATAACTTACGAGACATATATTTATTAAGGCCGCCTATTGTTTTTTTTTACTTACTTTTATATAATTAAGTTTATTTAATTGATTATACATTTTTCATTTTAATACTTTATTGTATA